CTCAATGAAGCGTTCCTGGTGGTATACGGATCATCCATGATGCGGTGAAGTCGCAGAGACTAGAGTTACTCACGAGCATGAGTAGGACTTGCGGGCGGCTGCAGCATATGAAAAACAGTGAAGGAAAAGATGGTTTAGGGATAGGGTGTGCTTACCCGCTGACATCTGGGTGTATCGTGATAGGGAAGATGAACTCTTCTTCCTCTCTAAATGACGTTCATGTGAACAAGGTTGGAAGGTTTGGACAAGGATAAGGAAGGGGAGGCACCTATAGCAATACGTGAACATGTCTTTCCATAGCTGCTCCAGATCCCTCGGGTTTACCTAGAGTGCAAGTAAGCATAGAAAAAACCGAAGCTTCGAATGAAAACGTTTACCCATCCATGAGAGTTAGGGCTCGACTTGATAAACCTAAGAGTATTCTCGGTGAGAAGAAATGAACCCATTACCGATGAAAAAAGCGCACATCATGGGAGGCAGGTCATCAAGGTACCTAACATCATGTTTCCGATCCACAGTTAGCGGCAAGAAACAATATCGCAAGGGCGCTGCCCATCTCACCAGTTCGCCGGAATGCAAACCAGCCCCGTTTCGTTGCCACGTTCCAACGGCTTCATCCATGTAGCAGCATCAGCGGAGTAGTCGATCTTCGTCCAGGTGTCGGTGTCTCTCATATAGTACGCCTGACAGCTGGGAGGCGTTAAACTCTACCTCGAGGGTGTTGAAGAGTTTACCGACTCGTGGGCCATGCTAGAGTGATCTGGTAGAACATTAACAGCTTAGATCGCAAGAATTGTAGCAATGATTACCGTATTCGATGCCTTTGTCTAACAGGATTTCAGTTCCTTCTTTGCTTGTCTCCCACCATGGAGCAACGCTTCCCTTGAAGAAAGGTCACATAAACCTGACATAGGGCACGTCGTTTCCTTACCTTGGGAGGTACGCCGTTGTTAAATTCTGTTAGTAAGTCATAGGTGTGATTGAGGATATCTTCCTGTTGTTTGATGCTCAAAGCAACAGGATTCTGATAACATAAGTCAGGCAAGCAATTGAAGACGGTAATCGGTCGTATACGTACTTCATGCGAATATCCGTGCAGTCCACTGCGTGTACAATGTTTGACTAGACGAGTAATACGATGCAGAAGCTCGTACATCTCGTGTCCGGCATCGCGAACTGCTGCCATTTGCTCGGGAAATGTTTCGAGACTGTGACCTAAACAGGTTTCAGCAGACAGAAATGCAGAGTCGCATTGGGTGTAGGACCAGGGATGAACCAAGTGGTCTTCATCTTGAATTTGTCGAAGAGCTTGAGTAGGCGGAGTGTTCCAACTTCTCCAGCAAACATTCCCTACGATTCATGCACCAGTCAAACAGAAATCTTGGGTTGCGTAGGCTGCAAGTGGATATACCCTCGAAATATCAAGTGGTGAGTTCTCCCCGCCATACGAGCCGAGCCTAAGTAGTAGCAAACAGGTGTACATGTAGTCTGTTGAAATTGGATCAGTACTACTTACCATCCCGCGACGGCGTCGACATCGACTCCGAAACCAATGAGTACACGTTTAGCAGGCATGTTGGTGCGAGAGTTATAACGCGAGAAGTTGCGGTCAAGGATTCCACGCGAGTACTTGGGATAACGGGTGAGATCATGATTTGTCAGCGTCTAAAATTGGATCCACAGTCGACACGTCGACCTTTAGAATTTCCACACGACGTCCGTGAACACGCTCTCTCTGTAGTTGGTATCCCAGCAGTCCCTTGCCAGGAGCACACTCACCAGCCCGACTGCGGCCATGTCTAAGGCCTACCCGCTCCCTACCAACCTTTCTCCCACCACCGTGGCGAACACAGCGTCCCTCATCCGGATCGTAGCCCTCGCCCTCATATCTGGCGCCGCCATTGCTTCACGCTTGTTTGCTGTTATCAATTTTGAGAGTATCATTCACGAATTGTACGTCGTTCTACCTCCGCATATGCTCCCCGTGCTGCTTCTGACACATTCCTGTTCTAGCGATCCATGGTTCAATTAGTGAGTGGCTTGGCATATCTGTTTATAGCCTGCGTTGAATTGTCGGTACAAGTCGCGCGACGAGGGTCTTAGCGTCCAAAGGGTTCTACGTGCGTGCCCTATATCTCTTGGATTGGTGCTCTAAGCTGATTCCGTCATATAGGAATTTTGGAACTGGTTTGATCCCACGGCATGGTATCCTCTCGGTCGAGTCGTTGGTGGAACCGTCTACCCCGGTCTCATGGCGACCAGCGGTGTCATCTACAATCTCCTACATGCCGTCAACCTCCCTGTCGATATTCGCAATATCTGTGTGCTTCTCGCACCAGGATTCAGCGCACTGACCGCATGGGCGACCTACGAGTGAGACCCATCCATATATGCGCAATTCCCATCTCATATTGCTTCCAGGTTTACCAAGGAAATGAAAGACGCCAGCGCTGGCCTTCTTGCCGCAGCGTTCATCGGTATTGTGCCTGGGTATATCTCCCGTTCGGTCGCGGGGTCCTACGACAATGAAGCTATCGCTATTTTCCTCCTCATGTTTACATTCTTCTGCTGGATCAAAGCTCTCAAACAAGGAAGTGCTCTTTACGGCACCACCGCCGCTGTATTCTATTTCTACATGGTCGCCGCATGGGGTGCGTGTCGTTTTCGTTTCTCGCAGCCCTCCGCTGACGGTACGCGCAGGTGGTTATGCTTTCATCACAAACATGATTCCCCTTCACGCGCTGGTCCTCATCCTCATGGGACGATTTAGCAGTCGGCTCTATGTGGCTTACTCCTCATGGTATGCCATCGGCACATTGGCCAGCATGCAAGTCCCCTTCGTCGGCTTCCAACCCGTCAAAACTAGCGAGCATATGGCTGCACTTGGTTTGTCTCGCCCACCTATACTCTCGCCATGCCAGGCTGATGCCCGCCTCCTACAGGTGTTTTCGGTCTCCTCCAGGTCGTGGCATTTGCTCAACTTGTAAGGTCGCACGTGTCTTCGCAACAATTCCAGAGGCTCCTCGCCGCTGGTGTTGTCTCTATCGGCGTCTTGGGAGCAGTCACTTTCGCTTTCTTTACCTACAAAGGATGGATCGCCCCATGGACCGGTCGCTTCTATTCCCTGTGGGACACTGGCTATGCCAAAAAGTACGTGAATTGCCAAACTCGCGTTTAGCTCATACCGACCTGTCATCCAGATACATCCCCATCATCGCCTCCGTGTCTGAGCATCAACCCACGGCCTGGCCGTCCTTCTTCATGGACCTCCAATTCCTCATCTTCCTTTTTCCCGCTGGCGTGTTCCTGTGCTTCCGTGAGCTCCGCGATGAACACATCTTCGTCATCATCTACGCCGTCGTGGCGAGCTATTTCGCGGGTGTCATGGTGCGTCTCATGCTTACACTTACCCCCGTGGTCTGCGTCACCTCCGCCGTCGCCCTCTCTACACTACTCGACACCTTTGTTGACCCGACGGAGCCGGAGGCTGTGGATGATGCACAGAGCGAAAGCGGGGCTGGCATTGCTGGAATCAATGGTGCTACTTCCGCTACCACCACCGCGACCTCTACCACCACGGCCTCAGCTACCAAAAAGGCCAAAAAGGCGGCGGCAGCAGCAGCAGCATCCGAGCCCTCCACCACCCTCAGCGACATCCTTTCCCCCTCCTCCCCCTCCTCCTCCTCCCCCACCGCCAAATCCACCAAATCCACCCGCCCCAAAGGCATCTACGGCCTCGACACGCGCATCCTAGTGATCTTCAACACCATCTGCATGCTCGCCTTCTTCGTGTCGCACTGCACCTGGGTGACGTCCTCCGCGTACTCGAGCCCGTCGGTGGTGCTGGCGTCGCAGAACGCGGACGGGAGCCAGCATATTATTGATGATTTTAGGGAGGCGTATTATTGGCTGAGGGAGAATACGAGGGAGGACGCGGTGGTGATGAGTTGGTGGGATTATGGGTATCAGATTGCGGGGATGGCGGATAGGCCGACGTTGGTGGATAATAATACGTGGAATAATAGTGTGTTTTCTTTCTTGCTTTCCTTCCTTCCCTTCCTTTGCTTCCGTTCCGCCTCCCTCCCTACCCATTTCCTTCTCTCTCCTTTGCCCCCACCATCTAAACATAACCCGTTACAGCGCACATCGCGACCGTCGGCAAAGCCATGTCCTCCCCCGAAGAAGTGGCCTACCCCATCCTGCGCAAACACGACGTCTCGTACGTGCTCGTCATCTTCGGCGGGCTCATCGGGTACTCCGGGGACGACATCAACAAGTTCCTCTGGATGGTGCGGATCGCGCAGGGGGTGTGGCCGGATGAGATTCAGGAGCCGAGTTACTTTACGCCGCAGGGGGAGTATAGGGTGGATGAGGGGGCGAGTAAGGCGATGAGGGAGAGTTTGATGTATAAGATGTCGTATTATAGGTGCGTTCCCTCCTTCCCCCTCCTGTTTGGTGTTTGGGTGGGTGGATGGATGGAGACTGATCTTGGGACGTGGTAGGTTCGCGGAGTTGTATGGGGGTGGACAGGCGATGGATCGGGTGAGGCAGCAGTCGATGCCGAAGGTGGGGCCTACGCTTGATTACCTCGATGAGGCGTTTACGTCGGAGAACTGGATCGTGAGTCCCCCTTCCCTTCCCCCACTCTTCTCTTTCTCCTTTTTTGTACGTTTTACTGAATTTGATGTGAATGGTAGGTCCGCATCTATGAGGTGAAGAAGGAAGACCCGCTTGGGAGGGACTTGAAGACGGCGGGTGCGTTTGAGCAGGGGAAGAAGAGGAAGAGGGGGAGGCCGGCGGCGAGGAGGAGGGCTATTGTTTGATTTATGCGGAGGTGTGATTGCGATAAAATAGAGCTAATCTATGTGCCGACTCGAATGAAAAAGATGTGTATCTCTTTTGCTCTTGGTCTTCGTATCGTTCATGCCGCCTGGCGACCGTAAGAATATCGCATGTATGTACTTAGGGGCCTCCAGACGAAGGGGGTGTTGATGTCCGTCGGCTTAATGGTCTAGTAGTATGATTCCTGCTTCGGGGTTTCCATATCTCGCGCCTTTGTGGGGCGTTTAATGCAGGAGGTCCTGGGTTCAATTCCCAGTTAAGCCCTGAAAGATTTGTATGAAGGTTTTGTTGCGGTGATTGAGGGAGCGAGCATGGAAGTAAATGTGTATTGGATTTTCGTCTGGAGAAGCAGACGCAGTAGCTCTGCTTTACTGCTTGAAATTATTCCTTGAATATCATGATCACAACCACCAGTTGCAATAGCATGTGGATGGCGTCGTGTACTTCGTTTTTGAGATTTCCATACGAAGAGTCTCAACACTCTGCTTTGCTTTATTGTTGTTACACAATTCAACACCGGGGTCCTTCATACTCTTCCTATATGCATAGCAGATACGTATAATGATATACATCCCATAACCCATACCCAGCAAGCAAGCGGACATGGCAAATCCCCAAAACAACTAATACCAAAAGAGAATAGTAAAGACCAAAACGAAATAGCCCCCGATAGATTTCCCAGGTAAATAAGAAAAATACGATCGCGATAGGATTGCGGATGCAGCTAGAGGAAAACAGCGAATACCAGACCAGACGCGCCTAGCGCAACGGCCGCCTGCCACACGCGCGCATCAACGACCGCCGCCACGGCGGCATTGTCCTTGGAAGAGACTTTGAGCCCGCTCTTGGAGGACGCCGCGCTGGTGCATGCGCTCGAGGAGCTGACGGTCGTGAAGCGCCGCACCAGAGTCTTCGTCGACTCCTCGTAAGACTGGGGCGGGGGAGGTGCGCCAGACTTGAGGGGAGCACGCGCGGCTTTCGAAGGGTTAGCGAGAGCGCCGATACCCCAGGGGATGGGCGCGTTCGTGGTAGGCTGGAGAGCATTGGGAGGGGGGGTGGTCGCGCCGCTGGGAGAGGCTATGGCGAAGCGGGTGGTCCATTGCTTTGTGGTCGCACAGGGGGAGGAGAACTGGTAGAAGTAGATTGCAGAATTGGGGATGACCTAGGGGAGATTGAATTTAGTTCTATGTAAGGGAGGGAAGTCGGCATACCGCAGGGCAAGGATGATCGAAGCTGCCTGCAACAGTACCGTCAAGACCAGTCGCAATAGCTATTGTGAAAAACGGTAAGTAACGAAAGGATGAGGAACTTTCAATAAGCGTACTAGTCAGATGCTTCATGTTGAAATTGTCGCCTGTCATGAGCTCAATATCCATGTTCTTCCATGCAATCTTAGAACCCGCATCTCCGGTCCATTTGATGTGACATTTATCGCCTTCTTTATAGATGGTGCCAGGCCCAGGGACGGTAGGGACGACATCGCGGACGACGAGACGGGAGCCGGAGCCGGGGTGGGGAAGTGCATCACTAGGGTGGGGAGGTGCATCACGCTTGGCGGGGGCAGGCACGGCTTTCGAAGGGTCTGCGAGGGCGCCAGTACCCCAGGGGATGGGCGCATTCGTGGTAGGCTGGAGAGCATTGGGAGGGGGGGTGGTCGCGCCGCTGGGGGAGGCGATGGCGAAGCGGGTGGCCCATTGCTTCGAGGCCGCGCCGGGGGCAGAGAATTGGTAGAAGTAGATTGCAGAATTTGGGATGACCTGGGAGAAATTGATATTTAGTCTGAGCGGATCTTATGTGAGGCATGGAAGTTCGCGCACCGCGGGGCAAGGGTGATCGAAAGTGCCTGCAACGGTACCGTCAAGACCAGTCGCAACAGCTACGGTGGAAAACGGTAAGTAACGAAAGGATGAGGAGCTTTCAGTATGCGTACTAGTCAGATGCTTCATGTTGAAGTTGTCGCCTGTCATGAGCTCAATAGCCATGTTCTTCCATGCAGTCTTAGAGCCCGCATCTCCGGTCCATTCGATGTGACATTTCTCGCCTTCTTTATAGATGGTGCCAGGCCCAGGGACAGTAGGGACGACATCAGCGCGCGCAACGAGATGGGTGACGGAGGTGAGGAGGCCTAATACATCAGGCTTGACGGGAGCAGGCACGGCTTTCGAAGGGTCTGCGAGGGCGCCGACGCCCCAGGGGATGGGCGCGTTCGTGGTAGGCTGGAGAGCGTTGGGAGGGGGAGTGGTTGCGCCGCTGGGGGAGGCGATGGCAAAGCGGGTGGCCCATTGCTTCGTGGTCGCGCCGGGAGCAGAGAATTGGTAGAAGTAGATTGCAGAATTGGGGTTGACCTAGGGAATATTGAATTTAGTTTGTGCGGTTATTATGTGAGGCGTGGAAGTTCGCGTACCGCGGGGCAAGGATGATCGAAAGTGCCTGCAACTGTACCGTCGAGACCAGTCGCAACAGCTACGTTGTTTTGTGAGAAAGTTTAAAGAACGAGAGGATGGGAAGTTTCAGCAAACGTACTAGTCAGATGCTTCATGTTGAAGTTGTCGCCCGTCATGAGCTCAATAGCCATGTTCTTCCATGCAGTCTTAGAACCCGCGTCTCCAGTCCATTCGATGTGACATTTCTTGCCTTCTTTGTAGATCGTGCCAGGCCCAGGAACAGTTGGACCGACATCAGCGCGGACGACGAGAAGGGAGGCGGAGGCGAGGAGAGCCGTCAATGTGAATGTTCCAAACATTTTCGAGATTAGGCTGTAGACGCAACAACAAGACCAGCAAGTTGAGAGAAGATGGGGGTGGATGACCAGTCACAAAGCAACAGGAAAAGAAAATGCGCTCTTTATATAGGATTTGATGTTGATTTGATGTTGATGGCGATTTTAAGGAGTGCATTAGTTTCAGAAAAATGCGGGGCAGAAGTATGGTTTATCGGACGGCGAGTGTTTCAAGTTGGGTACAGCCTTGTTAGATCTACATAGAATATCTGCTCCAGGACGCAACTCAAAGGCATTTTCCCAAGTTTGACTCTCGAGGTCGGAAGTGAGATATCCAAGATTCGGAACGGATCACCGACTAGGGCCAAGCAGGAGGGCAGCAAGAGTTTCGGTGGTAAAGGTCATTCGCACTAGGAGGGATACTACCATCCGCCGAAGAACCATGCTAAAAGGATAAGCGCACGACATTGGAGGTTGTGGCATACCTGGACGACCGCAGTGACAAATCGAGGAGAGCAGTTCGAAGCCGTCGAAATAAAACAGAGGCATACTCAGGGAAGTCTGTCGGACCGGGCGTCAGAATCACAGGCTTCTTGAACTTCGGATATCATCCGACCATCCCAAGATCATCCGTGACATTCTGCCTGAATGAGTCCAGGAGAGGGGCCCAAAAGAAGACTGAGAGGGCTCAGAGACACAAGATGAGTGATCTGCTTGAGGGACAAGGTAGGTGGCAGAACCCACCAGATTGTTAAGATATCGAGCTCATGCATCTCTCCCTGACAGTCGAACTTGACCCTAGAGTTGACTTTATTGCTGGAACTGTCGCGGTAGGCAAATACCTTATCTGATCTTCCTGGTATTCCGACACAATGAATTTTCCAGGGAATGACGAGTTTGGTGGTTGGATATCCCTTCGACACTGGTCCGTATTCTGCTGTATTTTTGCTATTCGCCCTGTGTTCTTCAACGCGCAAAAGAATGACATTGGCATCTTCTAGTAAAAGTACGCTTCCAGAATCCCGAGACTGCTTGCAAGTACCGCTCTACGTTTCATGCGGTTGCAAAGATTGTCCGCGAGGAGAAGTTTGTTGGGTTATATAAAGGGATTTCATCACCGTTGGTACTTCCCGCCTCGTCCATGTTGGCATGAAATCATGGCATTGATTGTTTTCTGCAGGCTACTGTCGCACTTATGAATGGCTTAGTCTTCGCATCGTACAAGCTCTTTTTGAAACTGCAACTTGGCCAGAGCGACGACATCCCTACACTTAGCCAAATTACGCTCGCAGGGGCAGGATGTGGTATTGTATCCTCGCAAGTTGCCCAGCTGCATAAAAATTCCTTCCCAGTGCTTATCACCTGTTCACAGCATATTAACCACGCCAATTGAATTAATCAAAATCAGGCAGCAGTTCTGTACCGAACCGACTTCTGCCCACCGAGTCGCTCTTCGAATCCTGAAAGAGTCTGGCATAACCGGCTTGTATCGCGGACTAACCGCGACTGCACTCAGAGATACTGGATATGGAGTGTATTTTCTCACTGTAGGCCACTCAACAGATCTCATACCGACGTCTAATGGTTGATCAACTTTCTTGTAACTCCCCTCCCCTCAGTATGAAGCGACCTCCCGTTTCCTCGTCTCCCCTGCGCCCGGAAATGCATCGCCCAATTCTAAGCTGAGTGCGTCGGGTGTCGACAGCCTCTCTTGGCCTTCATTGCTTTTTGCTGGCGGAATGGCCGGAATTTGTGCGTATTCGCGTATATCTGAGGTCTGCATTTGCTTTATATTGCGGCTTCAGTCGGATGGCTCGCTACCTTTCCTTTCGACGTGGTGAAGACCCGCATGCAGGCTACCGAACAGCCATCACTGGCAGCACCTTCTCTCAGCACGCCCCTTTTGGGTAGCACGCCTGTGTCAAGCCTAACCGATACCAATCCGTACCGGACGACGCTTTCGACGATTGTCAACTCCTATCGCGCAGAAGGGATCAGCGTATTCTACCGAGGCCTCGCCCCAACTCTGATACGGCACGGATTGTCCTATATTTCATGCCTGCCCCGGCCTGACTTCTCTGCCTTGTTCTGCCATTCTCTAGCGCTATCCCGGTTAACATGATGACCTTCGCCACGTTCGAGATCGTCGTCCACGCGCTTTCGTGACCTCGGGCCTTGCCTCGCTGGGCCGACGGAAGTACGCATAAACGACGGTGCTACTATCGAGAAAATCAGGACAGACCACTCGGTGTTCTTTCGAGTTATGTCGACGGAAGTGGATTACATTCAGACCGCTTCTCATATTGAGACGTAGGGCTACCATCTAGCATCTGGGAGGAAAGCAATTGCCGAGAGGTCAAAAGCCCCCTTCTCAGTTGAATAATATCTGTAGATGTGAGGTATCATCGTTCATAGATTAGAGGCAGCTACACGATCTAGACCCATAGATCATATTTGAAGATGTGCAAAGAAGTGCGAGAGGACTCATCCGAGGACACAAAGATTCTGCCAAGAGAATATTTCCTGAAGAAAGTCGGCCATGACA